GAATTCTATTACTGTCGACGATGGCATCAGACCGCGTCGCTTGGAAGCGTATTACCCTTGTAGCCAGCGGAGCCAGTCTAATCAGTAACGGTTAGAAGAAAATAGTTAGAAGAAGAAGAAGAATGCTCGGATAAAAGGTGCGATAGGTGGAAAGAATGGAAAGAGAGTGCTAAAAGGTGAACATTTAAAAACATATCAAAAATACATATATCTATACTGCATAAGGCATAATACTGGCTTTGATGTATACTGATTTGATTTTATATCAATAAGATGATAAGACGTGCATAGAAAATTTTAAGTAAAAATTTTCAAAATTGCCACTAATGGGCAATTTTGAAAGGCCAGTCCTATTGTTATTTTTGTTGTAATTTATCGTCAAATCTAAATGGCTTTATGTATTTTGCCTTTGCATAGATTATTTAGAAATGGTTTTTTTTTCATTCTGGGAGACGATGATCGACAAAATTCTTGTACGGTCTCCCACTCAGTTTTAATTTCATTTTAATTTCTCACTGATTTACTTTTATATATTTCAGTTATATGGGATATAATCCAAGGACGCATCAATCACTTCGACTATTTGATTTGATTTTATATCCTTCTTTCCTATAAAATAAACTAGACGGAATCGTAGTAAAACAAAAATATTTAGGAGGGATATAAAGTAGTACAATTGCATTGATTAATGAATGTTTAAGTTCATTAATTATTATAACATTAAAAAATGAAATTTTTGCAAAAAGTTATTTTGATAAATCAACCACATCGAATGACAAATGTATTTGATGTTGTAACAAAAATTCCTCGAATTCTTCAGCAAAAATCCACTAAACACCATGCGAAGAAATACTTTCTTTATCTCATGTCTAATTAATAAATCCATTCGTTTTCTTCCTACATCTTTCAAGTTTTCTTTTCACTTCATTCCTTTCCAGATTTGTGCTTTTAAATAATAATAATTTTTTAGTAAAATTTATTGTTTGATTATGTATTCAATTTGTAGAAATCTGGAAATTTGATAAAATACAATCCAAAGGTGATTAAAACCTTGATAGACTATCGTTATGTTTTAAAATAAGCCAAGGATTGACTAAATTCGAAAAATTTAAATTAAAAAACGGTCAATTAATCGATAATTCCCGGACACGGTGTTTATGGATATTAGTTATATAATTATACAATCGTGAATCAAACATTATTATGTTAAATTTAAACTTTAAAAGGCTGAAGACCAGTTTAAATTCTGTGCACGTCTAATTTTTTGGTGTTTGGCAGGGATTAACAGTTATAATCATAATTGTGTTATTGCAGTTAAGCCTATTTTCAAATAAATAAATGAGAAAAAAAAATCCAAGCATTTTCATTAATATGGAAAAGCCTCGAAGTCTCGAAGAACATTAATTGTATAGTTTTGTGATTTTTTTTTCTATTTCTTTATTCCCAAAATTGGTAATTTGAACGTTCATTTTGACGCATAGGCGATAAGGCTGTCCACATATGAATTGTCTAAACATAATTATCTCTATTTACTGATCAGCATTATCATTAAAGTGATGAATTAACTCTTAAAATCGTAGCCAGTTCCAAAATTTAAATATTTTTAATTTTTTAACGCATAGTTTGCATGTTTATTTAAAAATTTTTTCCTTATTTATTTGAAAACAACCAAGCAAGACGATGAGCGCCATCTACTTGCATTTATAAGTTATAATATTGAAAGGAGATTTTGATACAAAGTATAAAAAAATATAACTGAAAGTATTAAAAGGAATTGGAATATAAATATTATAGGAATTCAATGAATAGGAAAAAAGGAACCTTCTTATTCTCACACCATTATTGATTAGGCTGGCTGCAACAGCTACAAGGGTAAAACGCTTCCAAGCGGCGCGGTCTGATGCCATCGTCGACAGTAATAGAAGCCATTCCTTTTTCCATTGTTTAAGTCCATATACTGCTGCTCCGACACGTTCAAAATCTTTTCTGGCCATATCAGTCCAGGTTTTAGTTGATGTTGGCCTACCTCGCTTTTTACTCCATCTATTACAGGGTTTAGCAAGTAACGAGATATGCTTCATCGGAGAACGTGGGCGACGTTCTGTGATAATATCATTAATGCAAGTGGTAACTCAACGAATGTGGATGTGATCATGTAATATTTTATCCGCTTGACGAACCCGTAAAATGTAATTTAGACATGAATATTCAAAGGCAAATAATATCCTCCACTCTCACTGGCCATGTTTCAGAGACATATAGCAAGATTGAACGAATCATGGCTATAAAGATGTGGACTTTCGTTTTTATGGTGATTTCTCCACAATGATTTCGTCAATCGGAAGAACGCATTTCTAGCTGCCATGATCCGGGTTGTAATATCGTCTGTTGCCTGGCCATTTGGTATTAGAGTGGACCCAAGGTACATAGAGCAGTTCCTCAAACGGCAATGATTTTATAAAGATAGGTATTTTATCAGCTTCTTGCTTCAGACGAAAAGACTTTCGTTTTATTTACATTAACCCTGAGTCCGGTTCTCGCTGCAGTCGCTGACACGTTGTTTAGCATTATTTGCATTTCGTCATAACTGTCAGTAAAAAGGACCACATCATCAACGTATTCAAGATCCGTGATACGATGCTCTGGACTATTTAGAACCTCTTGAGTACCGACGTGCGGTTTCCATTATCCAGTCTATCGTTTAGTTGAATATTGCACAGGAAAGGACACAACCTTGACGGACACCAGTCTTTATTTCGAAGGAGTCTGTCAGTTCCTCATATTCACAGATCTGCGCAGATGTATACCCATAAAATGACTTTATGAGTCCAATGATCTTCTTTGGAATATCGGAGCGTTCCATCACCCTCCAAAGCGCTCTATCAACCGAATCAAAGGCATTCGCAAGGTCAATGAAACCTTTGAAGCGAAGTTCCAACATTCTTCTTAATGTCAATATCTGGTCAGCACAGTTGCGTTCCGATCTGAATCCAGCTTGATTAGGGCGCATCCTGCTGTCCCGTACTTCCATAAGTATGAAGTAAAGGGGAGCAAAAATTTTCGCTGAGACGTCTAATAGGTTTGATTCTTTGATTATTGTTGTAGTATGTCCTATCATCTTTCTTGAAAATTGGGAGCAGAATTGCTTTGTTCCAATCATCTGGTAAAATTTATTTTTCTCATACTAGAGAATAAATTTGTTGAAGGTGCGTTGTTGAAAGTTATGAAATGCAACATTTGGAGGGTTCAACCTGAAGACCATCTTCTCTCGGAGTCTTATAGCTATCAATTGCAAGCGTATGGTCCGGTGAATATATCAACTATATCAGGGGCAATATGTGGCGCTTTATGGTTAAGATTGGCCTCAAAGAATTCTTTCCATCGTATGAGGTGGTCCTTAATACTCTTGATCGCCACGCCATTACTGTATCTTACCATTTCACTGATCGTTCCCCGAGTCATAGTTGCTTTATGAAGAAGGCTGAAGGCTGAACAGCTTCCTATTATCGGCTAATCGATCTGCCATCTCCATTCTTAAGGCCATGTCACTCCAACAGTGATTTCTGTCTCGCCATGCTGCTTTCGTTGCAAATATTCGAAGTATACGATAGTCAGGATCTTCTGACATTCGCGTTTTGGTAGAGTTTTCAGACAGTTGAACAATTGCTTCCGATACACAAATAGCGCACTTCCTACTAGTATGCCCTAGTGTGGAAGTGGCTGATTTTCGGAGACATTTCTTTAGTTTGGACCAGTATCCATTTGCCGTTCCAGAAAAGTCACTGATATTTGAATCACTGAGAAGTTGCAATAATTCAGTTTGAAATGAAAAGAAAAAAGGAATCTGGGATTTATTAATTAAAATCCTCAAAAATCTGCGTTTCACTCATGTTTAGCATTAGCCAAATTGGCATGATTTTAAAAAATTCTTGAATATATTAAGGAATTTAATTTTTTTAAATAAATTATCTGGTTCAAGCGATGGGCTCTATTATTTATGGCTGGATTTTTTTACTTATTAATAAATTCATTTAGCCTAAGTTTACTGATTCAAACTAAAGACCGTCTCAGATTTGTTTCACAAATATATGTAATATATTTAGATGTAATATGTAATATATTTATTGTAGACTTATAAAAATATCGTTGGTTATCGGACCTTTATAAATATTTATATTATTCTATTAACCAAGATTAATAAAAATTTTTAGAGGATTTTGACCTGTTATCTGTGAAACTATTTTAGCTATTTTATTTTACTGAATTCTATGGGTATTTCGAAAGCAATAGGAGGTTCAATAAGATTGTATATTGTATATATATATATATATATATTGTACATTATATTTTGATTAACACCATTATTTTCAGCGCCGCTGTCCGTCAATGGATTTAGACAGGAGATTCGAGACGTCTAGCAATTCATTTCAAGTAGAATTTTTTGATTATGAAGGTTTATTTTTTCTTTATCACGTTTTAATTTTTAAATTGAATTCACTAGATATTCACAAAGATTCCGAAATTTATTCAATAGTATTATTTAATAAAATTTTAATCACAATTTAAGTCTATTTGGTCAATGAAATGATTCTGATTAATATTTTAGGTTATTTAGCAGAAAATATTCTACTTTAACTGACCTTTCACAATTGAATCAAAGAATAAAGTAAAGAATAAAGTACATGAGTAGGGATAGCGAAATATTCGTTAATAAATTTTCTCAATTGCTAATAAGCATCAATAAAACTTTATTCTGTTGATATCGCTTTTAAATTATTGTTTTTATCATTAATATTTTTAATATTTTTTGTTTTCAATATTCACATATCAATATTTAATATTTTTTGCAACGTTTTTATCATTTTATTTTTTTCCTGGATGGATTTCTTTCCAAAAATTTGCCTATGCAAATTTAAGGATGCCTTCTTATTGTAGATAACTGCTTTATCTAATGCTATCAGCGCGGTTAACTTTGTTTAGGAAAATCAATTGGAATATCGGAGAGAATACGGCCATTACCAGAGCAAAAATTGAATGAATGTTTGGATAGTCGACTAAAACAACATGGATTTTTATCGGACCAAGTGAAATTCTTTATCGAAAATTCCAATACTCCATTACCAGAAAATTGTGATGCGAATTTTCTAGCTGGACAGAAAATTGTTGTGAGAAGTAAGAATTTTTTGTTCTCGCTATTTCTTATAAGGCATAAGTATACGCATATGAGGGGTAACAGAAAGGAATTACCTATACTCTCGCGAAAAACTATTGTTGTTTGTTGTCTGAACATTGTCGATAAGATGTGCGTATTTTTACACTTTTGTCCATTGTTTTCACTGGGATTTCCCTAAGCGGAATCAATTTTGAGAAAGATTTTCTCAAAATCTTCCTATATCAAACATGTTGATTTAATATGTTTTGCGTTCTTTGATGCATCTTATTTTGTCAACAATTAAAATTTCAGCTCCTTGCCGAATTAAGGAAGATTTAATTTATATTTTAAAATTCTATATGGTTATTTCAAATTTGTTAATTGTTCAAAATATTATAATTTTAGGTTAAATTTAAATCCAACAATATCTAATAAGCTAAAATTACTAAAATCTATATTCAAATCTAAACGTAAACTGAGAACTCATGACTTTTTCATTCATTCGCGCCATTAATTGCTGGAATAAGCTCGAACAATCTAGTTTGTTCTTAATTATTTTAAAAGAAGATTGGATATTATCGTTTATAATTTTATTTAAAAACTTTATATTATGCAGGAAGTTTAAAATTGTGATCTTTTACCATCTGATTATGTATCAGAAATATATTCAATTCAATTTGTATATTCAATATATTCAATTTGAATTACGCTATTTTTTAACTCCTTTTTATTTCCTCTTTACATTATTAGCTTATCTTTATCCTTATTTCTTTTTTTTTTTATGTATTTTTACCACTAATTTTCTTCATTCTTTATTTTATTTATTGTTAATATTGCAAGCACATGGCACTTGTGCCCTATTTAGTTGATTTCAGTAAACAGTAAACAATATCCCAGTGTCCTCGCTATAGATACGTGTTAAATGAATGAGCGAGTTTTTTTTCCCTTCGCTTTTAATATATAACTTAATGTCATCCATTAAAAAGATGGCTGATGGTGGGTTTCACTCTTGAACTTTTATCCATATCCAATCCTTATGATTACCTGGCAGAGCAGTGGCGGAAGCAATGCGTCATCTCCATATGTACATCACTTGCTACTTGCTACTTGTGCAAGCTGCTTTGAGTTGTCCTCAAAAGTCCACAGTCCCATTGAGTTCTCAATGAATGATCTTGTTAACTTTGCATAGAGCCAGTCATTCATAGATCCATATTTGGGGCAATGCTTTAGTTAATCAAAGATGTGCACAAATTTATATGTCAACACTTTGATTATTAAGCTGCTCTTTTATCTATGAATAGCTGGTATTTGGAACCATTATATTATTCCCAGTACCTTTTTGAACTGTAATGATGTACTGGATCTTGAAGTTTGACATCTGTGAGCATTTTCCACATTGTGGAGAGGATAGTTTCTGCTGCTGGTGACTCTATTATTACCGTACTATTGAGGGTTCATCTTGGATGGTTCTTTGGAGAACAATACATTTATCTTTTAGCCTCTGTTTCTCTATCTCCTTAGCCTAGTAGCCAATGTTGTGAACCTTTGTTTAGCAATCTCTGTGGCTTTCGATGGAGTATAGCCCTTTTATTTTTCCAATATCTGAGTCCTATTCTTAATTTTCATACCTTTCTGTAGTTTTCTACCAGGTTATTAACTTCTCTACATTGTGCCCTGATCCTATTTTCCAACCTCATTTTCTAGAGATGACATGCATTGCTATTCTTCTTAATTCTGTATCCTAGCTTTTCCAGAATTACTGTGGCTGTGGCATGCACCAATTCATTAGTTTTTCTTATAGTGATAGTTGGAATTGTTGCGAGGGCTTTATTTGCATCTTTTACATTATCTGGTACTATTTCACTGAGCCTTGGTAGTTAGAAGATTAATTAGTCGATTCAAGGGGCAACATCAGATATCTACCTAGAAAAAGGCACTGCTAGCTAAGATGTTGCGCAGAACCCCCAATCTCCCAGGCTTCTAGAGGATCCGAAGTTAAAAATGATCTTTACCACCCACTAGAATGAGAAAAGGATTTTTTTAAATATAAGAGATATATTTTTATATTAATATATATAATATATAATATTATATTAATATAATATAATATATACAGCTGTATATAAATTATATATATTCATTATATCCATTATATATCCATTGAATTATAAATTTTATATAAATTATACAAGTTAATTCATTCTTATAAAATGCATATAAATATAGGTGAATTGTCTGGGTATAGAATTTCTTAGTGGGTTATTGCTCAAATCTGCAAGCGCCTGCATATCGTTCACTTAGCCCTTAGCTCTTTCAATCGAATCATTTCATTAATTTTTATCATTCAACCAGACTGTGGTAGTAGAACAGAAAATCAACACTAAAGACAGCAATGTCAAGTGGCAGGAACGTTAAGAAGAAGGAATATGAGAAGCTAGAGAAATATGAAAGATGAAGGAGGAAGTATAGATATGGAAAATTGACAGATGAAAGCCAAATTAGTCCCATTGGAACACTTGGAACTATGATTCTTAAACTAGAAAAGTGGTTTCAGTCGATTCCAGGGGCAACATCAGATATCTACCTAGAAAAAGGCACTGCTAGCTAAGATGTTGCGTAGAACCTCCAATCTCCCAGGCTTCTAGAGGATCCGAAGTTAAAAATGATCTTTACCACCCACTAGAATGAGAAAAGGATCTTTTTAAATATAAGAGATATATTTTTACATTAATATATATTATGGGATGAATGCTACTAGTTTTTCGAAATGAGGTGTAGATGCTTAGTATTAAATTATCGTTCAGTTGTAATACTAATATTATTATGAAAGATTTTATCGCTGGTGAAATTTTTTAATCAATCAAAGAAAATTAAATGGTTAAAATAATTTTAAGTAAATTGTATGTTATTGATGTAATTGTTTTAGACAAATACAGATAAGATATTTAGTTATAAATCTGAAATATAAGGCCATAGATAAAAACTGGGATGAACATCACTAATCATAAAAATGGTAGACAGGAAATATCATTGGCAATTAAGAGTAAGCTTGAGATTAATATTTGTAGCTTCTTAGTTCATGCAAATTATATCTTAGATTGTAATGATGTAAATGATGTCGAAATAAAAAATGGAAAAGTAGCAAATGTTCAGCTAGAAATCCGGTCCGGAAACATAGAGTGGTTAATGGTCGAGATAATGTCATTTTCTGGTATATATAAAAATTAATTTTAAAAAAAATCGAAAAGATTAAACGGGGAATTTGCTAATCTTCGATCACTTTATACTTTATCTATCGTTTAAATTATTTCCTCGATGCATTTATCAACTAAAAAAGTTAGTGCCCAATTTGTGCCCAATTTTAAATACCTTGGATTCACTCTATTACCGATGGCCAAAAGATGAAACAGTCCAAATAACAGCAACTAAAAAATACGTTCTTCCGGTTAATGAAACCTTTATGACCCCGTCACCGTAAAAACCATAAAAATCGCAAAATCACCATAAAAACTAAAGTCTGTATATATAGCCGCGATTCGTTCGATCTTGCTATATGGCTGCGAGATATAGCCAATAAGAGTGGAGGATATTAAAAAGATATCTGTTTCTGACCATTCATATCTAAGATATATTTTACGGGTTTGCCGAGTGGATAAAATCTCACATGGTCGTATCCACCTTCGTTCATATATCACTTGCATTAACAGTCGTCTTCGTCAGACCACCTTCTTCCTCACGCACCACAAGAATTGACACATATTTCGTTACTTGCTAAACTCTGTGATGGTTGGCGCCAAAAGCGAGGGAGGCCATTCAAGGACTGATATAATCAGGAAAGATTTTGAATGTATAGAGGGATCAGCGATATATGGGCTTAAATGGTGGAAAAAGGAATAGCTTCTATTATTATCAGCGATGACAAATCGCGCAGCATGAAAGCATCCGATTTTTGTAGCCAGTGTAGTCGGCCGAACCAATAATGGTGTGAGCTGTTAGGAGAAGAAGATTATTATTCCATTTATTATTAATTTATTAGCTAAAATTTCTATGGAAAATTTCTTTATATTTTATTAGCAAAAGTAGCAATGGAAATTCTTTCCGAGACTTATTTGCATAAAAAGTAATTTTTCCATTTATCTTTAGATTTTTTTGGAACTTCGCATGAAATTTTCAATTTTCTTGCCGATAAAATTGGAGATTCTTTACAATCATTTTATAATAAATTATACTGTGCTGATTGATAAATTAAAATTTTAAATAATTTAAATATTTGTTAATGATGTGGTAATATGAGGTATTTAGCTATTTAGGCTTATCTAGTTTAACGGTGAAGTGTTTTAGTGAGCTTTTGCCCATGTTTTGGAGCAGTTTCTGACTGATGTTTGGTTTTACTTCTACTTCTAATTGGTTCTACTCTCTTGGTAGGAATGAGTCTAAAAATCCAGGTGATGGCGAGCTATGTTTGTTTCCATTGTAAAATGATTCCCTAACAGAATTTGGAATTCGAAGATATGAAGGCAAATGGACCGAGCCTAACCACAAATGATGAGCGCTTTTCGTAAAAAATTTGGCTCATTCCGAATCGAAAGCGAACAGTGTTCCGCTAATTTCGCTGTTATAAATTATTGCATATATGCATATCTTAAATCATATCAGTATTCAGTGAGGGTAATTTAAAAATAGAAACTTCGTATACTGGCTTCATCAGCATTTTCCATTAGACGCAAAAATAGTAGTGATTAAAGGAATAGTAGTGATAAGGGTGATTAATATAGAATGTCACAATAACCATTCGAATCGTAGCCAATTCTCTTTCTGCTGAGGGTCCTTGGGCGAGACCCACTGAAAGCCTAAAGCCATTTTTTCCGCCTCAGACAGAGGGCACGAAGTTGAGAATGACCCGTCTTTGTTGCTCATGAAAGTTCTAATTTCAGACAATAGTGAAATTTTTTGTTGCTATAGAAATATTCTTAATATTTTAAATGTTTCTTATTCTTCGAAACTGACTAACTGGTCAGAGTATTGAATTTAGCCAGTGAGGAATTAGCTAATAATTTATTTAAAAAGAATAGGTAATAAATCAAATGATAGATGACCATAAGCATTAGTTATCAATAATTCAGCTATCATTAAATGAGCTTAACGCAATAAAAAAAATCATGAGTAAAAGTATTGTTAAATATATTTTGCTTATTGAAGCTAACAAGTTGTGTTCGACGGAATGAGCGCGTAATATGTTCCTATTATTATAAGTTAAGATAGCTACTCTCTTGCAATTCCATTCCTGAGTAATTTCCTAACGAATGGTAGTCGGTGGAGTTAAACAAACCAAGAATGCTTTGAAAAAAAGATGGAATGAATCTTAAGTAATTTGCTAAATTAAAGAATTTGTTATAGTTACTCAGATTTATTATAATTACTCACATTTTAAATTTCGAAGTAAAAAAGAATTATAGAATCATCTGGTTAGGGACGTCCTTCACCCACTACTGGTTAGGGACGTCCTTCACCCACTACAGAAGAAAGAATATAGCGTAGAGTATATGAGGATTTTTCAAAGCAATTTCATACTAATATCAATGCTTGCTTTCAGTTAAAAATTCGATATCGCATAGAATGCGTGCACAAAAGCCATCGTCGCATACTGAAGGTAAGAACGATTCGAACGATTGTCGAATACCAATGCATAAATTTAGTGTTGATAATGCTATACGAAAAAATTCTGCAATTGCAGCGAGAGCTGTTAGTTCATTTTTGAAATTTTTTTTAGTCTAAAATATTTCTTTTTTTGAACAATAGAATAATATTAGTCGAACTAACTCAATGGAGAGGTTTAGAGATACGAGAATAACTAAGTGGTTATGTAGGAAAGAAGAAAAATATATAAATAAATGTTGTTCTGCAAGTAGTTCTCGAGGGAAAAAAAAGAAACAAATTTTTCAGTATAAATTTATAAGTATAAATTTAAGCACTTTAAAATATTTTTGCAAAATATTTTACAATAAGTCCTTTTTTAGGAAATTCTGTAGAAGTTTAGGCTTGAGGTTGAGTGTTACATAGTATATTTTCTGATTCCATATTTTCTTATTTTCTTCTCAATTGTCTTTGTGCCACTTTCATTTCTCTTTTTCTTTTTTTTTATTGAACATTTCCCTTTTTCAATGAATTTATCGCATAAATAGCATGATT